AGAAAAAAAAGAAAAAAAAAGAAAAAATAGAAAAAAAAGAAAAAAAAAGAAAAAAAATGAAAGAAAATATAAAGTATGAAAAAGAAGTAAAAAAGAAATAGATTAAAAAGTAATTTAAAAAGAAAAAAAAGAAGATATCTGTATATATATATATATATATATATATATATATATATATATATTACCCCTGAGACACGGAGAAAGTTATAATAAACAAAGTATACAGTAAGGCTATTTCAATGCCTCAAGGTTTTAAAAGTGCCATCAAATATTTTTTTTTCTTTTTTATAGGGGAGGACTTATAGATCTTAAATTAGAATTATAGAGATATCTTTTTCTGGAGCGTCTGAGCTGAAAAGCAAATAATCTCTCTCTCTCTCTCTCTCTCTCTCCCCCTGTCTCTCTTTTTATCTCTGTCTTTTCAAGATGGATATAACTATCCTGATCGAGCACAAAGAGAGCAGTACATTTATGTAAATTTCTTTGAACAAAGAGTAAGATAGGGAGAAGAAAAAACATAAAACATAAACATAAAAAAAATATACATATACATATATATGTATATATATATATATATATATATAATCTCGTAAAATCGATAAAAAAAAATTCGAGCCATAGGTATTCCACTTCTAAACGTTATATCAAAGTCTTGTCTACCAGATTATGAAATTTTCATCTAACGCAAAATACACTTGGCAAAAGAACACGTGAGTTTCCAATTGGATAATCGATAGGAAAGTTATCCTCTATCTTCCGCAAACCTCCTAACAATTTATCAAACTTCCTGATAACATATATTGGTACGATCTTTTGAACGGATTGTTCTCTCTCTCTCTCTCTCTCTCTCTCTCTCTCTCTCTCTCTCTCTCTCTCTCTTTTACGTTCCATTCTACCATCCCCCACATATTATTATAATATCAATAATATTTCTATATCAGTTTAGCAATAAAGAATCAATCAAAATTTGTATCCATTTTATATTTTAAAGGAACAATCTTAATATTAATGACAATTGTGATCAATCTAATACAATATTATAATATATTATTGGATTATTAATGCAATTATATTATACAATATTATATCTATAGGCAATGCAAACCTATTATATTATATTCTCAGGTTAGCCAATAAGTTTGATAAATAAAAAATATTAATGTTTTGTGCTCGGATATGAAATATTTAAAATTCTGAAATTATTATTATTATTTTTTTTTTTTTATTATACAATGAAACGACATAATGATATGGTATGAAAGAAGAATTATACAATTGATAGAAATAATGATCTGAGAATAGATATAAGAAGAATGATGGGCATTTGACATATAATGCATGTGCGTCCATCACTCTGAGTGTGTGTGTTTATTTATGTGTGTATGTGCACACGTGCGAACGATTGAAAGTCAATCATATTTCACTTTGGACATATCTTTATCTAAATACTTATTTTTCTAAAATTACTAAATTTTCTAAATGTCCATTCAACTGAAATTTCTAAATCATTCTAAATCAGGGAATAAATTTTGAGAGAATAAACTCGATTACACTTCTTTTTAATTTCAAGATTTAATCGTCAAGTAATATTCTCTCTTTCTCTTTCTCTCTCTCTCTCTCTCTCTCTCTCTCTTTTTCTTCATCTTCTTTATTAGCCAATCATCTCTTCATTCAAGGATTACGATCTATAGATCTGTAATTCTTCCATCGAGTTTGCATAACTAAGCTTCCATGTTTTTTTTTTTTTTTTTTTTTTTATTTTTTTACGAGTCATGATCAGATGTAATTAGGACAATTGCGAGATGTAGATCGGAAAATAATATTATTGCGATTATATATGTCTATGAGTGGATTGTTACTTGTAAATTAATTCTCTCAGTTTCCTTTTTTTTTTCTTTTTTATCTTTTATTTTTTATTTATTTATGTCTTTTTTTGTTTTTTTTTTTTATTTCTGTTCTTATCGCTATAAATCTTTTTCTATTTATTTATTCATTTATATTCTTCTATTTCTCTTTCAGCCGTTTTACAACTTCGCAGACGATAAAAGTAATAATAATCATAATAATCATAATAATCATAATAATAATAATAATAATAATAATAATAATAATATTAAGGACAATAATTATAATAACAATAATAATCGTTCAGTTAGAAGACAGAATTGTTTGGATAATTAAAACGATCGGTTTTCTAGTTAGAAACTCGAGATACGTACATGCATAATTCATAATTTAACGATACGATTACGGATTAATTTAAATATATTCCTTCCTCGATAAAACGAATTCGATTGAAATTTTCCTAAACTACCAAGAAATTTAATGACGTCATGAAACTCCAAATAATTTAGAATTCATCTATGTATAAACTATCGGTTATTGCATATCTGCTCCCGCCAACCCACTCAAATGACAACTGATTCCACGAAGAAATAATTCAACAACGAGAATGAAAAAAAAAAAAAAAAAAAAAGAAAAAGAAAAATCCCAACGACAAGAGAAATGACGAATGAGAAGACAACATTGGATTCACGATTGTTAACATAACTTCCTGTGATTTTTTCTTTTTACGAATGATTGAAAAATAATGAGAAAGGAGAATCGATCTTTGAAGAATAATTATCATCTAAGAATAATTATTATCGAAGATAAACGTATATAAAATAAATAATAAATTACTATTTAGAAATATATATATATATATATATTTATATATCTAATTTTTTTTGATATATATATATATATATATATATATATATATATATATATAATAATCCAATCTATTCGACTAAGGTCAAGACAAATTTCTAAATGAAATTTGTATAACCCGGTATTTAAATATCGAAATATCTCGAAGGATATAAAATCGAGGTCAATTTATAAAGTGTTAGTTCATTGCCGCGTAACTCGTTTTGTTATAACCAACGAGGCGGACACGATCGGAAAGGTGAAAGCACTATGCGTATCATAATCTACGATTTGTTCGATTACCTGATATACATAAATACGTATATACATATATAAATAATCTATCTTTGTGTATGCAATCAGGCTGCTCTAACAAATAAGCGAAATAAACTTAAGTATACGTCGCCGATAATGATCGAATCGAATGTACGACCTTGATGTAAAATGAGTATTATATTGTCTTCAGCAATATATATGTCTCCACATTATCTACGTATAAACGCATACATACATACGTATATACATACATACATACATACATATATTTAAATACTATGCGCACGAGGATAGCGGAATTTCCAAAGAGGAATGATCGTTTTAAATCAAAATCGATCTTAAATATCACAATACGATAATTGTATGATTCATTTTTTGAAGAATCATTTATTTTCTCTTTATCTTTTTTCCATTTTTCTTCTTCTTCTTCTTCTTCATCTTCATCTTATTTCCTTCCTTCTTTTTACATGCTCATTTGAAACAACGATTTAATCGAATGTAATAATTGCGAAGAGCTTGTTATTATAAACAGAAGAAAAACGAAAAGAAAAAAAAAAAAAAAGGAAAAAAAAAAAAATAGAAAAAAAGAAAGAAAAAAAGAACTGTTCGCCTGTGTAGAAGAGAACATAAAGTAAAGATAATTAAGAACGGCAGTTAAACTCGAATCAAAACGTTATTCGCACATAATTAATTCTATCGGCTCGATCATCGATTAGTTAGTATCATCGATTAACTTAGTACATTAAATTCAGAATAAATCAACGACTTATTGCGTTTTATCTACTTCTCCTCTCTAATCCCTCCCCCTTCACCACCCCACTCTTCCATCGCTGCCTCCCACTATTCCTTCTCTCTCTCTCTCTCTCCCCCCCACCCTCCCTCCCTCCCTCCCCGCTTCCACAACTTTTATCTACCTTCTCGGTGTTCTTTTCTTTCTTTGATCTAATTAACTCGAAATGATCGTTCTGAATTCTGAATTCATTAGATTACATAAGATATCCATATATATATATATATATATATATATATATGCTTTTACGGTTGGCGTATTCACTTCCTCATTTTATGTTTAACCAGCAATTGAGACTTTACGCGGAAATAGATTCGAGTTTCTCGGGAAAATTCAATCGGGGAAAAAAAAAAAGAAGGAAAAGAATAAAAACGATTTTCCTCAGTTGTCGATTATCAGAATTACCTATCATGATGAATCATAAAAGGATAATGTTACATCTTTAGGTTCTTTCTAAAATTTGAATCACTTGTTTACTCTTTCAAATTCCTCCGGGTATAATAAATGCTGACTTATGAGAGATGAAAAGAGAGAGAGAGAGAGAGAGAGAGAGAGAGAGAAGAAGAAAAAAAATAGAGAAAAAAAGTAGCACTTAAAAGATACAACGATATATTTTATAAATGTAAAAATGAAACATAAAATGTTCGAACAATGTCACTATCATTGAACCTGTCTGCTAGAAAAGGAAAAATTCTACCTATCCTTTTCTCTTTCTCTCTCTTCTTTTCGTTCTCTTACTGTTCTTTTCTTATACTTAAAAAAAAAAAAAAAAAAAAAAAAAAAAAAAAAGAAACAAAAAAAACAAAATAAAGAAAAAAAAAGTATAAAGGCAAAAACGAAAGAGTTAGATAAAAAAAGATAAATAAAATATAAATAGAAATAAGAAAGAATCGAAAGAGAAAAAAATATAGGTGTATGCGCATATATAAAAGGAAAGAAAAAAAAAAAAAAAAAATATATATATATATATATATATATAATTATATGGTAAAATCGGAAGAGTTCGCACAGATAGGTTTTTTCTTTCTTATTATTTTTTTTTTTCTTTGTTTCTTTTTTCTTTTTAAGATAGGGTTAAGAAGGATATATAGACGAATCGTAGGAATACCCATTTCCCTCTCTCTCTCTCTCTCTCTCTCTCTCTCTTTTTCTCTCTTTTTTTTCTTGACCTTCGGCCATGATCGTGTTGAGGATTGACGAAAGAGGAAAAGGATATCATAGAGGAACAAAACTGTGACGGCTAAGACGATCGTAATAGTCGACGATGAAAAACCGTGTATAGAGTACGTAGAATAAAAATCATTGGGTGTACAAAACCTGTTCGGCTAAGTTCCTTGTCCAGCCCCACTCGAACTCCGCACACCGTGTTTTAGTGTGTGACAACAGTAGAACGAGACTCTCGCGCTTGTATATGGAAAACCATTCGCGAGTAGATCGCAACGTGAAATCGAGTAAACCGGACGTACTAACGATATTCGAGAAGGAGAGGATACCAACTGGGATCTTCCGTTCTTCCATTTTGTCGCGTTTATCGATCGTTCGATTTTTATTTATTTCTACGATTTAATTGTTCTTTTTTCTCGTTTCCTTTTTCTTCCATTTCCTTCCTCTTTCTTTCTTTCTTTATCCCTTTTTTCTTTTTTTTTTTTCTTTTTTTTATTTGTGCGTTTCTCATCCTCTTCTATCTAAAAAAAAAAAGTACATTATCGTTTGACATCATAAGAACATCATGAATGCCAATGTGTTTCTCGTCGTATTATTTTGTTTCGTTACATTGGTGAACTGCGACTTGGAAGTGCAACTACTCCACGTGGTAAATAAAAGTTTCATTACGATTTACAAATTAGTATTCTCGTTTTCTAAGAGATCAAAAAAAAAAAAAAAGAAAAAAAACAGGAAAAGAAAAGAAACGTTAGTGACAGTTCGAGCAAGTCTCCTTTCTTATTCGCTTATACTTTTTCTACTGTATAATTTCTTTCATTGTTATTATACTTTTCTTTGTCTTATACGAAACTTCAAGATCTTTCCGTTTCTTTTCTATTCTCGTTCGTCTTCTTTTGGAAAGTTATTCAAAAAAAAAAAAAAAAAAAAAAGAAAAAAAGAAAAAACTAATTAAAAGAAAAGATCAATGATTAATTATTATATGTGTGTGTGTGTGTGTGCGCGTGTTTTTTTCTCTCTTTTAAAGCTATTTCGACATGGCGACAAGGTACCTCATCGAGCCTATCAAAATTATCCAAATGATCCGTATCGCGATTATACCTATTATCCAATGGGAGACGGCGATTTGACCAACGTGAGTATGATACTTGCGTGTTGTAAATTTCTTTTTTTCTCTCAGAAAAAAAAAAGAAAAAAAATAACAAAAAGAAAATAACAAGAAAAAAAAGACAAGAATGTATGTCATCGCTCGTTTCGAATGATAAAGTGAAAAAAGAAAAAACAGAAAAGAAAAAAAGATACATACATTTCCAATGATGACTAAGAAAAAGAAGGCAGAGGATGAATGTGAGGCGGGGAGGTGGAGGAGGGGAAAAAAGTAAAACGATTAATCAATTTTTCGAATATCCACTTTCTCCGACATTCTTCTCGAAGAAAGAAAAAACAAAAGAAAGAGAGATAAAAAGGGAGAAAAGAGGGAGACGGTGTTTTGAGTTAAAAAAAAAAAAAAAAAAAAAAACAAAGAAGGAAAAAAAAAGAAGAGAGAGAGAGAGAGAGACATTAAAATAATAGGAGAGAGAGAGAAAAAAAAGAGAAAATGAATAATATAATAATGTAAACAAGTAAGTAAATAAGTTTGATAGTTGATCGTTATGAGAACCTATTGGATTTTATCAGGAGGGAAAGTTGCGTGAGTACAAAATTGGCTTGATGTTACGTGGACGTTACAATGGATATTTTGGTTCGGATTATTGGCCCGACAAGATCTACGGTCTTGCGACGGATGTGCCAAGGACTCAGTTATCTATCCAGCTCGTACTGGCCGGATTATTCCCACCCTCCGAGAAACAGACCTGGAATCCACATTTGCCCTGGATTCCCACGTGGACGAGTCTAGCTACACCACACGATATTCAAAGCCTATTATTCCCTCACTATTGTCCGCAGTAAGTTAATTTCACTTTAAAATAATAATAAATATTTCAAATAAATCGATCAATTCCTTTCTAACATCTTACATCTTATGTGTGAACGTTTAAATCTTAAATAATATCAATCAATCCTGGGACAAATGTTTTCTTTGTTGATAAATTTCAAAACAAAAAAAGAAATGGAAAAAAAAAGAAAAAAAAAAGAAAAAAAAACGAAACAAAACGAATGTTTATCATCTTTCAATATCGATAGATACCAAGAGGAATACGCACAATTTCTCGAACAGGATGATACTCAAGAGATGATAAAAAGATACAAAAATGTTTTCTCTTATTTGACCGATCATACGGGAAAAATTATTAACACGACCAAGGCCGTTCAATATTTGTATAATTTATTGAAGGAAGAGGTAAATACATTTGCATTTTATTCATCGACATGAATTCAGTCGATCTTAAGAGTGCTCGCTTTTTATAATTTTCTCTTTTCTCTTAAAGGCCGCACAAAATCTAACACTGCCTAAATGGACGGAGAATGTGTTCCCTAGTCCTATGAAAGAAATGACAATGTTTGATTTTCATCTACGATCCTATACGAAGACCTTGAAACGACTTAATGGAGGTACGTTTTATCAGACAATTATAAAATTAATGCTTGATAAAGTAGAGAAAGGTAATTTCGAAATTCTTCGAGGAAAGAATAAATATATATATATATATATATATATATATATATATATATATATATATATATTACATTATAGACATTAATACCTTACAGACGTTTACATACTTAACGACAAAAAAATATAAGGTAGTAGAATATTTTCTTGAGATAGGATATATAAAAAAAAATGCATTTAATGATAATACTTGAAAGATTTATTGTCGTGATTTAACGACCTCGCTCTTCGTCATTTCCTTTTTAAAATCGAGGACAGAAAAAAAGAAGAACAGAAAAAAAGAAAAAAGATCTATAAATTTATCTATCTATAGTTCTATTTATATTTAATAAGTGATATAAAACGTTCATTAATTTGCGCCCGCCGCAATGCATAAGCCATTAATGTTATCCTAAATTTTACTTATAAATTAAAAGCTATAAAAAAAAAGAAAAAAGAAAAATGACATAATTCCAATGATTTCTAGGTATGCTACTTAGAAGGATAGTTGATGATATCGAATTATATCAAAAAGGAAGATTACAACCCACCGATAGAAAAGCTTTCCTATTTTCTGCTCACGAAGTGAACGTAGCTGCATTGGCGAGAACTCTCGGCACCAATGAACCTTTACTTCCCGCTTATGGATCTACGATAATACTGGAAACTCTCCGTGACAAAAAGGGAACTTACTATATTCGCGTAAGTGCTTTCACTCATGTTGATTTCTCATTAGAAGATAATACATAGATAATACGTAATTAGAAATCGAGAAACGCAGACTTTTATTTTAAAATTCTCTTTCTCACGCAACATTCATTTCTTTTCTTTTCTTTTCAACTTAAATATGATATATATATACGTGTGTGTGTGTGTGTGTGTGTGTGTCTATTTAATACTTATTATTTATTATTTTTATATACAAGATATCACAAAGTTATCAAATATTTTCTAAACAACGTTATAAATAAATAGATCGCGTTAAATTTCAATGTTACGTCATATATATGAAAATAATATTTTGATAAAAAACAGAAGCAATAATTCATTTTCGAAATTTTTATTTCTCACTGATGTATTAACATTAACCTTCGAGAAAATTATATCGATAATAGAATAAAATTGAACATTAACCTTATATCAACAAAAAGTATAGTATAATTGTTTTTTTTTTTTTTTTTTTTTTTTTTTCAAAACGAGTCGAAAGACCTTCCATTTAATATCTTTATTCTCTATAATTTCATTATCATTATTTGCTTTAATAGTTCTAAAGAAAAAAAAATAAAAAAAAAATAAAAAAAAAATAAAAAAAAAGAAATAGGAAACAAAAAAGAAAAAAAATGAAAAAATTGTTTTTTTTTTTTTTTTTTTTTTTTTTTTCTTTTTTCTTTTTTAACTAAGTACTAGATGATACTCTCTTACTTAACTTAATCTATCCGAAAAGCAATTTCAAAGTAAAATCACACGATTTCCCTGTTCCGGTATTTACCTTCTGAGTAATGTTTGCTTGCACCGTCTGCTACAACGCTATCTTATTTCGTCATGTCGCTCTTACTTATTACCGTACGTGAGATCACAAACCTAAGCTCATTGAGACGAAAACGAGGAATAAAACATTGTTACGATATTTCCTTTCATAAGTTTTCCGACGAAAGGAAAAGAAAAGAAGAAAGAAGAAAAAAAGAAAGAAAATGATCGAACGATAAGAAAATTATTAATAACACGAATATATGTCAGGCGAAATTCACGAAAAGACACGAAATATTGAAAAGAACAGAAACAAAAAAAAAATAAAAAGAAAAAAAAAGAGAGAGAAAGAAAAAAAAAGAAAACGAAAGAAGAAAAGAAAAAGAAAAGAAATTATACGAGATAAATGTCGTGATTATAAATTAAATAATGAATTTTTTATTTTTCTCATTTATTTTGTTTTTGTTTTATAGGTACTTCTATGGACAGGAGTGACGGAAAAGTTAATTATCCAAACTATTCCTGGCTGTAACGAGCTATGTCCGTACAATGAATTCCGTCTTCTTTTGAATGATGTTATAGCAACCGACGAGGATCTTCTATGTCGACAAAAAGATCATAATAATAATAATAATAATAATAATAATAATAATAATAATAATAATAATAATAATAATAATCATCATCATCGTCATATATCGTCATCAACGATAATCAATCTGGACAAACTTATGTTTTATCTATTAGGAATTTCGTACGTGATTTCGAAATCGTTAACGTGAACGAGAGATGAATCGACGATGAGAGACGAACGACGTATGTATATATATATATTGGTTAAACTATCGTCGATACGACAACTCCGATAGAAAGTTATGCTCGAACGTTCTCTCAAAAACCATTTAACTCTCAAAATGTTATTATTATTTATTTACGTTTCGAGCATTCTCTCTCGTTACGCGATGACTTTCTTCACGTCACAATACTTGATAACGTCTGATTTTAATGAATATAGATAATCC